TGGAAGGATCTAGCCATCCTTCGACAGCAAGCCGTCCTTTTTGGGGATTTCAAGTCATCAGGTCACCGTCCGACCATCGCCGGCTCCCACCGCTCCCTCCTCACACGGTCCCTCCGCTCGCTCGAGCTGCGCCCAGCGGCAGCGACTCGAAGATCAAGGTCGCCCAGGAGAACATCGGTGCCAAGGCCAGAACATCCACGAGCCGCGCGAGCAGCACCAGTGGTCCGTTGGTGGTCTCGGTGAGGAAGGTCACCGCAAAGGCTTCGAGGAGGGAGCCGACACTGCTGAGGAGGAAGTAGAAGGTGTAGAAATACCTGCTGCTTTTTGGCATCCCTACTAGTAACAAGGGTCGCTTATTTTGTTCTAAAAGCAACAACCACTACTTACTACCAAAGACGTGGAGGTGCATCGAGTAGACAATCCTCTGGTCGCACAATATTCCTATTGTAATCTGTAAGGCAGTAGGCTGTTGACAAGGACCATCAAGGACCTCACGACCTGGACAAAGGTGGGAATCGAAACCTCAAAGATGTATATATAACTTCAAACGCTTTCAGCAGAAATCATGATTCTTGATCATTGCCGAACACTTCAGAACGGCTTCTTCCGCAATTGAGCACCTAAAAGACTTGAGGACGGCAGTTCTTCCGTGATCGCTCGGAGGGCCAAGAAACTCAACCTCATCGTCAGAACCCCCATTCAATCTTAGCATCTGGCGTATTTTGATCCACAACCGCACCGAAGGGAGACTGTTGGACAGGTCTTCCTGCTGCACCCACGGAGATTGAAAGGATACGAAAGATCCGTTGCAGGAGCACTTCTGAATGAACACTACCAGTGTGCAGGTTGGCCGTGCTCTCCGGAAAGCTTGGTGATTCGTCAAATCATCTTTATATATAGTGCTTAAACCATCTTAAACCTACATCGTCATTGGTGACCTCGCCCTTCACGTGACTTCATCCTTTCCGACCGCCACGAAGACCACGACTCTCGTCGCTTCAACCTCTTTAGCTCGACTCAGCTCGGCCTCTTGAACTTTCGCACCCGCTGGTGCTCCTGGGTGACTTTGGTGTCCTGGCCAGAACAAATCCTGAACCACTGAAACGTCGACCCAAACCAACTGAAGAGTCCACTACCAGCAGCTTCCAGGGGTGCTGCTTTGGAGACCTTCCAACATCTTGCTAGAAGCCATCCTTAGGGATGCACTGGTGAACATCTCTTGAACATTTCGTGGTGCGAACCTGCGAAGTATCATCCAAGTTTAATGAGCCGAATGACTTCGAGTCGGGCAAGACTTCCTCTCGCGACACGGTGCGAGATGACCTGATTCTTTCATAAATAATAGCTTCCTTGCTTGGCTACATTTGGCGACCACACCTCGTGGATTGAATCGCAGATGTGGGTCAGCATAGACGTCTCACTGAACGAAACAACCAAACTCTCAGAGAGAAACTCTGTAGATGGTAAAAAATGCCTCACAAGTCACAGGCTCTCAAACGTCCTCAGCTTGTCATGAACGAACACCGGTTGCCACAATGGTCTTTTCGCACTCCACGCGACGAGGTGATTTCGATGTCCCTCCATGTCCCTCGCGTCCTCCCCAAGCTCTTTGGGGCCCAAGGCTTGCCAACTCCCAAGGCTTGCGACCAAGAGGAGGGCAGCCAAGATGTACCTCACGACACGCCACGACACACGATCTACGATCTTCTTTTGCGGCAATGAGAGATTCTCAACGAGAAACTTCGGGATCACCTGGCTGCGCGTCCGTGTTTTAACCCCCTTTGGGGTGTGGTCCAAAGAGCTGACCAATGGTCCAAAGAGCTGCAAGTGCTACAAGTATCATGACTACGGTTCAACTCATTGAAGACTTTTTTATCCCAAAAACAATAAATTAGATTCTACTCTCTGGGGTGGGGGCTAAAATCTAGAGTCTAGATTCCGAAAAAAGATGCGTGAATACTGTTCAACTCATTCCCTTCCCTCAGAACAGGTTCGCACAAGTTCTAGACTCTAGAATGAGTCTATACTGTACAAAGTTCTAGACCTGTTTTGGGCGTTGTAGCGTTTGTATGCAATACTCAAAACATGCTGTTCAACTCATTCCCTTCCCTCGTGCCACCCACTCAGAAACAACCAAGTAAAAATCAAGTCTGCAGAGTCTGCGGAGGTGGTTGAGTAGCTGGTTGTCGGCGAGCGCAGCACCCATTCATTTTGTATTGCATAGTGAGATTCTCACTCATTGGTGTAAACAACTTGTCTCTTCAGACCGTCCCTCGATTTGTGGATGTATAGTACACACGTCGTGCCAAAAGGACCTGATTGAATCGCCTGCTTTGCGATAGTCTTCTCTGTTGTCTTATAAGTCTTAGACAAACAAACCGTTCGGCAAACATAGGATGGTCTCTTCAAACGCATGAAGCGTAGAAACAGCGAAGGGCTCCATGGCGAGAACAGCGTGCATGATGTGCCGTGGTCCGCGTGCATGGTGCATGCACGGGTGCGGTTCTGCTCTCGTCCCTCTTGCGGCGTCTCCATGCGTCGAACACGCTTTTGAGATAGTCGGACATGTTGTCCGGCCGTGCCGGTATCTTGTGAATTGTCATGTGCACATTGAGCACCAGTTGTTTGTTGACTGAAGAATCGCTTCAGTTCAATGTGCTTCGCCTTCTGGCTAGATGCGATTCTGGTTGCTACACTTTTGCCCGGGTGCGACCGAGGATTTAGCTGCTGTGGTTCTAAGCCTTGCAAGACCAGGTTGACCTGGTTTTCGAGTGAACCATGTTTGTTCAAGGCCCACGCACGATCAAGGCCTGGGCCAGGAATCATAGGGATCAAGCAAAAAGCAACAACACCCCATAGGGAGCAAGCAACAAACACAACAACACCCCAATAGGGAACAAGGGTCGAAAACCGTGTTTTCCCGGACCCATCCAAGTCACAAAATCATCATCCTGCTCGACTGGCTGGCAGCGTGTGTGTAGGGGTCATAGATTACCTGGCAATCAGTGAAATCAGCGGAACACTGGGCCAAAACGCATTTTCCGTACTTCGGGATTTCTGTTCACCTAACAGAACTCCCAGTCAAGCTTATGAAGCTGAGCACCCTTTCTAATTGATAGGCTAGTTGCTTTGTTTGCCTCTTCTCATCTTGAAACGACGTCCATGCCGGCCCTAACCTGCCTCCTCCTTGGGATTCTCCGGATAGCGACAGGGCTCCATGGCACCGCTCGTGGCGCCGCTCGACTTCCCGCTCGACTTCGCACTCGGTCGGAGGAACATCGGGGTGATGGGTTCAGTACAAGTGAGACGAGCCGGGCCCTGCTGTCTGGGGGTCTTCCCATGCTCGGATGGTGAGGTTCGCGCATGCAGGTCGCTTCGCTCTAGTCGCTTCGAGTCGCGATCCGAGTTTCCAACGCCGAAGTCGCAGGCGTTTGTGGTGGAAATCTTTTCAAATCATGGCGCAGGGTCTGCCAGTATCGCTTCTCTGGGTGACCCACCAGAGAGTCATTTCGTATGCGCTTTGAGCAGGTGAATAGATGTCCACAAACTGAGCGGTCTGAGATCAAAGCTTGTCCGAGCTCCATGGAACTTCTTTGCAGTTCTTCCTTGCTGCGATGATGTCAAGTCGATGGTCAGTCCGACTACAGCTTGGAGCCAAAGTACGAGGAAGCCTGGATACTCAGCCTCTCAACCCAGCTGACTTAGCGATCATGGGTCGGATCAGTTTGGATTTTGCCCGCCAGTGAAATCGAAAAGACAATTAATGTGAAGTGGACATGTTGACATGTTGAGTTCCTGTGTTCCAGCAACACTCAACAGGAAACATCAATATCATCGCCACATGTCGCAACCAAACACAATATCCTGGGGCCCCACGAAAGGCCAATGAAATCGTCGCCTCACTCAACAACCATACAACCATTTCCGCTTTGAAATAGACTAGCGAAGCAGGGTAGCCTCTGCTTCGCTTCCGCGGCACAAAAGGCCACGATTTCGGCCAAACACTCATGGGGTAGATTCAAATCTATTCCATATCTGGGCGTTTTATTGAAATACGAAGACCTCGCAAAAACTCCCTGGAAGAAGGGAAATAGACCAAAACCCATTGATTGTTCGGGTCTGAAAGTTTTACCAGGGGTCTTTAAGGGTCTCCTTATTTCAATACTTTCCTATGTGTTCTTGGCCTCTTGACGAACCCACACCGGGACGTCTCCCTTTTTCACACCCTAAACCTTAAAGCCCCTTCAGGAGTCAGGGTGATTGGTTTTCACCAGCAACTTCACCATTCCACCTTAGGATCTTAGGAACGACACAAAGGCTCCAGGTGGCTTCTGTATGTTGAATCGAGGTACACTCTGACTCAATAACATGGAAGTGGACCCCCCTTTGTTGTTGGTCGAGTAAAGTAGTCTTTTTTGCAAGGGATCATTTTCCAATTTCATGTTAACTGATAGTGTGTCAGAGGGCACCAAAAACCAACGAAAGAGTGGTTTTTCGGGCACTGAGACGTGGTGGAACAACTGAAGAAAACCCTGAGTCCGGGAGCCTGGCAACGCGTCATCCACAATAGATTTATGAATCGTGTGGCGATGGGATGCGTGGAAAAACACATACAACAACTGTCATAGCTTGTGACCTTTGACGCTTCTATCACTTCTATCTGCCTATCTGAGTCTTCGTCTTTACGTAATTTTGAGGGAAGTAGCGGACGCGCTTTCCTTTTTTGTGGCACTTCTTCAACTCATAGTGTGTGGTTGCTTCCCAAGTACTTGGCCACTTTTTGGTACTCTTCCAAATGTCCCTCACAGCTGCGGGGAGGATTTGTGATGTCAACTTTTTCGGCTACAGATTGGCTACACATTGGCTGAAACCATCATGGATCATGGACAGTAAGCCCCTGGAAGACCCTTTTCCTCTATCAGGGGATCCTGGTCATCTTGCATTTTTGGAGGCCAACGAGCCCCCCCCACTTTGCCCCCCGGGCCCCGCTCCACTTCGGCCTGTGGTGAGCGATCCAGCCGCGCGAGACGTCGCTGGAGGCGGCGACCTGGCGTCGGCGGGTGCGTCTGGCGTGGACCTTGGCAACTCGTTCCTTGTGAGTCGTTTCCGCTACCCGCGGGTGTCTCATTAAGGATATCAGGAGATGCACTGATGGTTGACATGGTATGAGCCAAAAGGTTATTGTTTAGACATCAAACATCATTGGGATCAACCCTTAGGTGACAAGTCATTTCGTTCGCTTTCAGTAGTGCTTGAGACTGTTGAACTTAAAAAGAAACCATATTATTGGTTCTAGCCCCTTTTGGGCCCAAATCCCCAAAGGACATTTACTCCTAAAGTTTATTGCCAAGACTGGGGGATTTGAAATACCGAGTCCTCCGATCGAACCCTTGATGTATATAGGTCAAAGCCTGACTCCTCCAAGCAACGAGTCTCTTCATGGCGAAATCCTGGGCAAACGAGTCTCTTCATCCTGTCGTCAAACGAAGAACCCCCCTCCCCAGAGCAAGTTCTGCCTGCAACGCGGCAGCAACGCCGTTGTTGAATTCGGCCCAGACCTGGTTTTCCCGCTGTGTGATCAATGACTCGGCCCAGCACGATCGATTCCACATGCCAAAAACATTGCACAGTTTGTTGCTTGGAATCAATCACGTATGTGTGCAACAGGGTTTTGCAAGGTCAATGCAGCCCCAAACCATGTGCAAGTCATCCAACAACCAAACGCACATCGGCGACAGTGCAGGCTGTCCAAACAGTTCCAAGTGAGAGTGAGGAATCAGTGGCCCAATTGAGACAGCCGTCAAGGGAGTTGACCTCTCTCCACTCCAAGGGACCCTCAGGGACGTGGTGAAATCGTTCTTTTTCTGCGAGAAAAACACTCATTTGATTGTGGGACCACGGTTTTTCAACCCACTATGGCAATTGAGATCCATTCCATCACAAGGGCTTGGGACATGTTGGGGGACATTTTCTGCTTGGGTTTCTGCTCGGGACTGGGTGTGTCTTTCCTCTCAACTTCGGTCAAGGGAGTCGGACCTTCAAAGGTGAACAGCTCTGCGTGCGTCGTTGGGAGAAACGTCTTGCGCGAAGAAAACGACGGCGAGGCGGTTTGAAAGTGCAGGAGATGCGGTTCTCTGACATGCGCGTATGTTGGTGGTGTTCAGGTGAGATGTCTTTGCCACGGCCGTGCAACAAAAATAGGCATTCCTTCCTCTGGAGAATAGCTGCCCTTCCCGGATCATTCAATGCTGTGCGGCCAGGCGGTTTGGAGGAATCGTTTTTTGATGGTTTTTGCATCATTCAACAGTCGCCCATCCTTTCAAGGCAATTCCGGCAAAAGCGGCAAATCGCAGGGATCCAAGATCTTCAGACCTCTTTTCCAGTCAATCTTCTTTGAACCGTGGTCTTGCTTATGGTCATATATTTCCGTAGTCCATTTATTGTCCATGATGTAGTCACCACAATCCAAAGAAAACCTAGCCTCAAATTAAACGAACCTTGAACACTTGGGCACTTTCCCAACTGCAATCGTGAAAAAACCATGAACCCCACTAAAAACCATGAACCACACTCTTCCGGTCTTCCTTCCAGCATCTAAAAACGCCCTCTGAGCCGCCCAACGTTGAGCTTCACATCGTGATGGCTGGGGTCTAACGATTGCACCCCGGCCTGATGGCAGCGCGTCCCCAACCACCGAGGCGTCCCAACACCGAGCGCATCGGCCGTGGTCCAACGGGAGCTTCAGGGACTGTCCAGTGCCAAATGTGAGTCACCCAGGCACATGAAATGCGAGTGCTGGGTTTCAGACATGCTTTGAACAAATGGGTCGTAGAAAACCCCCAAAGCCCCGAACCCGTCTCCGGAACTCGGTATTTGAGTTTATGAGGGTTCGATGGTGACAAACGGCGCAGCCCTTTTTGATTCCAAATCGCAACAGTAAACGGAGTTGAGTCGTTTTCAACTAGTGAACAGTTCACCTCAACTGATCATGTACGCATCACAAAATCCCTAACACCCCACCTAAAATCTTAGGCAAAAGGGGTCTTTTGCTCTATGACTTTCACAATGTACCGACAACGTCCGGATGGGACTTCCGAGACAATCTTTGATCGTCCGATTTCAATAGAACGTCTGGACAGATTCAACCTGAGGTTCAAATTGAATTCTGCGATATTCCTGCATTGTGTCGTGCAAAATCGTTGTCCAGTGGTGTTGCATCCACTGCATCCACCAAAATGTTCAATCTCCGTCCTTTCTCTATTCCATTCACATCTCACAGTCTCCTACTTGTCTGGGTGATTCCCAGGGCTACCAGTCAACATAATCAAAGCATGTACGCATGTGATACAATAACACATTACTAGCTATACGTATGCTTAATAGAAACGTGCAAATCCGCACGTCCTGTATGTGTTGACTGAGAAATAAAGAAGCAGCGCAACATAAACTCCAGCATTTACACAGAACCAATGGTGTATGAGGTATGTATGTGCGCATGCCAAGGCAATATCAATCTTACCAAACCAATTCATTTTACCTATTTCCTACCCGCCATGATCCCGATGCGACCGTCTCTGTGAAGGTGGCGTGACAGGGTGTTTCCCAATGTGGATTACCGGAGGCTGTCGAGATCGGGCTGCACAGCTCTCCAGGCTACCTGGTCGACAGTGGAGAGGTGTTCGCCATGGGCTACGTCCTGCTGTAAGATTGCGGATTTTAAAAATCCAATCACCATCTTCATCCACGCCAGCTCAGTAGTCCGTCCTTGGCTTCTTGGAGGGCTGAGAGGAGGGACCGCCGGAGTCAGCCGCATCGCGTTTCTTGGCCTCGATGTCATCCAGCTGCTCCTTGATGTCCACCGAAGCCACGGCATCAGCGATGAACCAGCTCTTGTTGGCCTCCTGCTTCTGCTTGAGGTACGCCTTGAGCTTCTCCACATCGAGCTCTCCCATTGATGCAGGGCGCCGCCATCAAGATACATACGGAGCACCAGGAGACGCAGACCAATGGCAGGGGAGGAAGAAGGATTGAAACATGAATATACGAGAACCACTACAAGATCCGGAGGCTGCACCACAGTAGAAACGGTCTTTCAGGTCCACTTGTTCAAAGTTTCTTGCTTCTTGTTGATTTCTTTCATGGTCACGACTAGGTATCGGAAGTCCCAAGATGAAGAAAAATAGCTGTGTTGCAATTTCGGATTGTGTTGGATAAATCATGTTCAGGTCCCAGATGGCCCAGATGCTACAAAAATCTACAAGCGACTGGCGTAAAGCACTATTTCACCATCCTGTAGTGAATGTACTGAGCGGGTTGTCCGCCCGGAACGCCAGGTGAACCACTTTGACGTGGTTGACTGCCGCCGCGTTGTCAGGTCATCAAATCGCCTTCATTATGGCCTTTGGATCAGCTCCCCTTTTTTGTTCCCCACCTGTCAGGTGAGGGTTGTTAGATTTTATGTCAGCTGTCTGACCTCCTCCTCCTCCTCCTCCTCCTTCTCCTCCGCATCGTCCTCAACCGCGAGCCTCGGCTGGTAGTGTTCCTCGCCAGACCTCAACTGCGAGGGTCGTGTGGCACTGTTCCCCGCCGGACCTCAACCGCGAGCTCCGGACTGTTTTGCCACACCAAAAAGGATTCTTCAACGACAGCACACTCCACCCGGTCAGTGCCTGTGGGGGGAATCGACCGGAGAGCACCAGCGCTGGGATGGGCAGCAGCTCAGTGGGTAGCGGACGCAAAGCCTCAGCTCCACAGCGTGACATTGTTCCATGTTTCTCAAACATCCTGGAAAACCTCGTTGGAACGGGTTCAAGGGAAAACATACAGGACACATCAGGACACCCATAGTTTTTGGAGTGAACGCCAGAGTTTCCAGTAGATGTTCCCTTAAACCCATTCATTGGCAGAACTTCCTTCTTGACTCATGAACCATGCCACCCTGGTCATCAAATCATGTGGGTCAAATGAGTCATCAGTGAATCAGGGTGTTGATGAATAAAACCCTCTCCTAGTCACACGGGTTTGGAGCCCAAATCATATTGTCGGTGGACACTCTCCTGGACTCCTAGCTGCTGCTAGCTATCCAGTAATGAAAAACTGAGAGCCAAGATTCTAAATGATGAAGCCCGCGCCCCAATGATTGGTTCGGGGTGAGCCACCATTTCACCACACACCCATAGAATCTCTTCCAAGCGCCCTTCACGGTGCAAAGCTGTCATATCCTTTCCAATCCGGTGCGACGAAAGCAAGAAATGAGGGTGGCTGGACCTCAAGGAATCTCTCGTGGGAGGTCTGTTTCCTCATTCCCTACTTTCGTCGCGCCAGTCGCACTTGCCGTACTTCGCTGCAGACTCGTCTGTGCGGAGGACGGCTGGAGCATGGCCCGGATGGTGAGGTGAGCGTGGCACAGTGGACAGAAAGAGTAGGATCTGTGAACCCTGCAGGTGGTTCAAGTCTTGTTCTTCGGTAATGCATCTATATAGAACTTTCTTTCATGTTAATGATGCATCACGTGTTGAAAACGCATCAAGGTAGACAAATCAATGTTTTCTTCGCAGTTCTGCGACCCACAGAACTTGGACGACCCACCTGGTCGGGTTGGAGCAGATATTTCTTCGTCGAATCCCCACCTGTGGTATTCCGCGAAAGCCAAAGGCGTCAACTCTACGCATAGAGCCGCCACGATCGTCACGGTCGTCCGAGTAGAACAGAGCATCGCTACTAGTAGCAGGTGCATGGCTATTAGTAATCGCCTGCATCTGTCGGCCTGAGGCATCAAGTCCCGCGGCTGTCTCCGTGCGCCCCCTGAGGCTCCGCGCGCCCAAGGTGAAAGCGCCGCGGCCCACACACAAGGCACTTTGCCGCAACGCGGCCTGAGCCAAGCGCGTCCTTAGTGGGTGATGCTGGTGGACAAAACGAACGAAAACGCGGAAAAAGACACACATCAGTTCTCAAGTCGGCGACTCAGATCTGGTTGAACTTCACTCTCAGGACTCAGAACTGGTGCACCTCCGCCAGAATTGCCAGCACTGCTGAACTCTACACTGGTGATTTGAGCGAGTTGAAACCGGGTGTTCTTGGCGAACTCTGCAAGACATGGATTAAGGACCTGGGCCGCGAGTGATGACCAACTCCTCCCCGGGTCCCGGCCGCTCCATCCCATTCCGACGAGATGGACATGGAGTGTGCATTACTTTCCAAGACCATTTCAAAGATGGTTGACCTGGCTTTGTGGTTTTTCACCCTTAAGTGAAACAAGGATTCTTCTGTAAAGGCTAGTTTGAATCCTAAGTTCATCATCGACATGGAACATCATCGACATCCAGACTCGGTTCCGGATGCTTGGGCTTGGGCCATGTACTGTACCGGACATGGCGACGAGCATCATGACCAGCCGTCAACCGCCTCCACATCGACTCCTTCACCCCCACGGACCACGTTGAGGCACTGTTTGCTGTGCTCGAAGTCCAGATCCGTCTGTTCCTGGCCCAGCTCGCGCGGCCCAGCGCGCGCGCCGCGGGTGTGGGTCGGTCGGGACCGGGGCCAAGGCCCAAAGGCCTTCTGACTGAGAAGGGGTCTCGGGTGGGCCCACCCGGTGACAGAAAGGCGGACATAGATCAAGCATTTCAATATTCACTAGGTATGATGTAGACCCCTAGGGATTAAACACATACATCAATCCCGTAGATGATGCCCTAAACTAGATTAATAGATTCATACTTCCGCCCCTTGGGATTGGAAAAACCTCTTCATTATGGCTGGGGGGTTTATTCATCAAGCAGGTTCATCGAACCGTTGCTCGAAGCAGCGTGCTAAGGTCAAGGTACAGAAACCTGGTTCTTCAAAGTGATGTTACTTGATCCCCTGGGCACTGAGGTCAGGTAATCAGGGCCTACTTTGAGGTCACGAAAGGATGGCACTTCCAAAGTTCGGTCACGAACTGGAGGATCATGTGACTGACCGCGACCGGCGCGACCGCGACCAGTGCCACACGATCCCTCTTGGGTCGTGCAGTCGAAAGCTCACCAACAAACTGTTGCCCCAAACTCCGCAGCTCACATCAAGACCTGTCTCTTCCAAAGATGGACTGGTGGAAGAACACCCTTGTATCGTGAAAACATATCAACAACCTGAGTTAGGTCATGTTGACTAAGATATTATATAGTATCAACGTGATGTATATAGATATTGTATCAACAAACTGAATGATGCCCATGACTCTTAAAGTATTTCTATCCGAACACCTATATAGTGGTTGTAACATGTTCTAACGGTCCAAACATCTGCAGCCGACCCTATAGGGGCCAGCACAAGGCGTCCCAAGGGCCGGAACTGAACAACCCTAAGGATCCATAATTCTACGCTCATAGGCATATACTTCGCTCCAGAAAAACCTCTTAGTACTTCAGGGTTCTCCAATCGCCCAAACCCACCGAAACAACAACCAAATAACGACATCCTTTTGGGTTCTCCGATCCTTCTCACCACCTCACCCCCCCCCGTGCTCCGCACACCGTCTAATCCGACCGAGCGCCGCACCGGTCTCCGGGGCACGCGCAAGGTCTGGGGCCGCGAGGAGCTGAGCAGCCGCGCCACCTGGCGAAGACGGACGACTCCGGAGAGCGCTGGAGAACGTGAGCTCTGACGACTCCCTGTTCTTTCGGATTGATGTAATTGGGTGTCCAAACATTTGGAGCTTCAGCAGTGTAGGGTACTATATTGGACACCCAGACAGGATGACCCAGGGTCATGCGATCCAAAGGTCTCTTTCGTTCTTTCAACAACATCTATGGCTGCCCATGCAATAAAGTAGAAATTGCTGAGGCGGCTCGGCCAAACAAAAACAGGCCCGGGCGAGGTTTGGTTTGGCACGTTTATGTTTTTGCATGTCTCGAAACCAACTATAGGGTGGGTTGTTTTCGGTTTTGACCGGTTTGGATGGTGCGCAAATCTTTGGACATCGCAATATTGAAGCCGATCTGACCGGGCTTGTGATGTCAGTTTTAGGCTTGTCAGGGAATGACAGGTAAACATACATTTTCTTTTCAAATCATACTTTCTGAGCTTGATGAGTGGACCGTGGCGGCGCCCGATGTTCAACTTCGCAGACCGCGCAGAAACCGCCAGCCTAATCCAGAACAAACCTTATTCTGTCTTGGTTCTTTATGGTCCAGGTGTAACAGACTTCTCTAAACGAATAGAACCCCTGATAATGCCTGCCCAGTTTTCCGGGAACCACTTGAGCGGTACAACAGGCAAGGCCAGCTGTTGCGGCTGGTGAACCGTTTTGCAGCCAGGTTTTACAGTATATTGATGGCCAATATACCAGGACCTTCCAACTGGTGGCTTGTGGACACCCAAGAGGCTATTTATAGACACCCCTTGGAGGGTCCTGGTATATCTTCGAACAGCTTGCTGCGCAGAATGTCAGAGCCATGGAATTTGGAATGGGGAGCGGCGAGCCTGCCTCTTGCTTCGGCTGAGTGAGGGGAGAACGCCCCCTTCGCTGAGGGGAGAAGTGGCTCCATGTGGTTCTATTCACCTGGGAAAAAGAGTGTTCGGAGGCATACTCTCCCTGGGTTGGCCGGTGGTGATACTCTGCTGTTTGGCCGTCCGGAAGCGGTGATTTTTTCCAGAAAGCTCGGATGGACGAGCTGCGAAAGTTCAACGCTGCTGCTGCTGCTTTCGAGAAGGTCGATGACACCGCAGCGTCGGCTTGGCATGTGAAGGCTGCGTGATCAAGTACCGATCCATTCCACGACGCGAGGAGGTTGCATCCTGAGAGGTTGAGAGCTAGACTTGGTGCGAGAGTGTGGCCTCTCAGATTCTCAATGCTGGACAAGAAGTAGCAAAAGCTGGACAGTACCATTTGGCGTCAATGAGCCGCTGTTTCAGAAGAGAAACACCCAAAGCATCCCAAAGCCTTCTTCAACTGTTGCTCGAGATCGTCGGTTGTTTCTTTCCTTTTTCTTGACACAGATCGTGTTTTCAAGGCCAAGCAAGGCCAAGGCGACGGCCCACCGTGTTCCCACTGACCAGGCGACGGCCCCGCCGCCCCGGCCCCGCCCCACCGGAGAGGCGCCGGCCGACTGGGCGTCTCCAAATGAAGGGCTTGGCCCCAAACAGGATGGCTGTAGTGACTGTAGTGAACATGTTACAGGTCCTGTTCGAAACCGTGCTGGAGAAAGGTCCAGCTTCTCGTGAACCAAATCGCAGTCGGTTCCGCAGGCGATCCATCAGAGCAGGCTGGAGGATTCTGCCCGAACGAAGATTGAACGTGACTCGCGCGAAGAGGTCGACAAGATGGTTTACCAGCAAGGGGTTGGGAAGCTCTCTGTAGCTCCTTGGCTCCCTACTTAATGAGACATAACGCCCGGGCTGCTTTGCTGTCCTCAGCACCAGCTAGTTGTAAGCAACAACTCGTTGCCGTTTCGGACCGCGGAATCTCACGTGGATAGAAGGGTCGTTCAGAATCACCGTTGGGGTGAACACTCCCATCTGGCGTTATCGACCTGTAGTGATTTCCTTCCCACTTCCCCCAAGAACTGAAACCCGCTCCCCCACACCGATCGATCTCTACGCCTCCTGTGCTCGTCGGTCCTTGTCGAACATCCGATTGAGCCTGGGGTGATGGACGACACTCACCACTCGAGCCGGGGCTGAAACCAGTTGTGGTGCGTTGGTTCCCAAGGGGATTGGATTCCGCGCAGAAGGGAGCCATGCAGGGAAAACACGAAGGACGAATGAAGCTGCAGGGCTGGAGATGGTCCGGATGTTAGTGTTCATATCAATTGGTTTCAGGAGCTCTTTGGTTTTGACTTCCATCTCATACCATCCTTCCAATCTCAACAGGAGAGGTATATAGGACGCAAAAATAAGGGGCTGTTGGAGGTACAAGTAAAGGGCCATGTCATTCTGCTGGCCCATGATCGTTTGACAATACTATACACAATGCAACTACACACGATGACATGCAATCTATTGCTATTCCAGGAAGGTTGTCAGAATATCTTGAGTGACTGCTGGTCCGGAATTCAAGTGTGGGAGCCGTAGAGCCGTTGTCATCTCAGCCGTACTGCCGATATTTCTCCAACCAACATGATGCCTTTCCAACCTCAGGGAGAACCACAAACACCTGGCAGCTGGTGATCTCTGATCACCCTGCTGTTGCGCAGATCTGTCAGGACCTGCTGAACAACCCAATGATCTGACCTATTATCAAGGGCTTGAGGAACTCCCTGTAGTTCCAAACGGCTCGCTGTTTCATGGAAGATGGATAACCCCATGATACGCACACTCCTCATTGAAAAGATAACACATCTCTGCAGGGCTGCGCGCCCCTTTTCTTTTGGTGAAAATCTGAACTGACAAGAGGAGGGCATGTGGTTTTCTTCCTTGCCTATCTGGTGGTTGACCCTTGCCACAAAAATGAGAAGGCCCCAGTGACCGAGGACGGTTCAAACAAACGAGAGCGGAGATGTCTGCATCCTTTTCCTCTTGGTATTGGCTTGAATCAATGCGATGGACTTACCGAGCTCCTGATCCTGTCGATCTCCTGATCCTTTCGATCTCAACTAGTGTCATACCAGTACCGGCCTAGAACATCATTTTGGATAGTTTGTACGCCAACATAAGGATCACTCAGAGTCTAGGTGCACACATCTATATTGGGTCTATCAATCGCATTACCAGTAACAGTGAATGATAGTAATGGCTGTTCTCTAAAGTAAATGGTTTACGGACTGTTAGTGGCACTAGGACAGACCCAAAGTATAATACCCAGACACTCCATGGGACTGCCATATATGCCTACATTGGGGTGGTTTTGGAGGTCAATAAGGGGCGGCAGTCCGCAGTCCCAAACAGGTCGTGTCTGGAATAAGTACTGATGAACCCTGATAGGTCGTGTCTGGGATCCCCTGTCGAGGTCAGTGAGTTGGATCCCCACACCGACCGGATCACTGGGTCGCCTCCACACCGACCGGATCAAAACAGTTGGGATGTACTCCATGTGCAGATTGCGATTCCGTATGGATCCTCCTGTTGGGGTGTCCAACTGTTAGAGACTTATAAGAGACTCGTAGCGGTGTCCATTGGTGACCCTGTATACGGAAGCAGCTGCTATGGACGATCAGCAAACCCCCTAAGAGACTCGTGTCACCGACGGACAAAGAAGGAAGTATTTCTTCTACAAAACACATAAACGTGTGTTTGAGTGCAGGAGCCCCGCTTCCACCGGCCGTCCTGGTTCGTCATCTTTGGACTTTCCAAGGGTTGCTGAAGCACCGGTCACCGTCGAATCCGAGGAGATGCAGATCCGAGGCACATGTGACCCGAAAGGTCTTGTCTTTGGTAATGACACCAATCATGCCAGTGATGCCAGTATTACATGCCTTTCAAGCAAGTGGTCCTCTTGGATTTGAGGAAGATCCTTTCAAACCCAGTGGAAACACGATGCGGTTCTCAGGAGCGCCTGGGTACAGACCGACCCCCAAATGGGATCTTCCACCGTGCCACTCTCTCTTGAACAAGAACTATCCATTTGGGGGTCTGTAGGCTACATGTTTGAGGCTACTTCGAACCCACCCCAGTCCGTCTTGAGATCTCCAAACTAAAGAACATGTCTTGAACACCGTGCCACTCTCTTTTTTTTGGGGAGCACAAAGACTTGTTGACATTCCATGACTGACCTGGAAAGACATGGGTCAAAACCTGTCAAAACCATGTCGCGCACGACCAACAGCATGTAGGTCAACCGGTCTGGTCGATGCGTCGAACGGTGCGACGTGCCGGTCCAGCAACCGCAGGGACCCTGCGGCGTGCAGGGTGACGCTCGCAGGCACCAGTGGCCAGAGAAGTGTCATCAGGAGTGTTCGGGTACAAAAGGTGTGCACTGAAGACGCATCATGGCGGAAGTGGAGAGGAAAATCGAAGATGCGGATGACGAAATCCTACGAAATCCTTATGAAACAGGTGGTGGTTCTTCAATGTTTTTCATCCATGGTCCAGGTCCATGATGATTTCAGGGAGTGCACAGCAAAGCTTCCCTAAACGGGAAGCCGCGATCAGGCCGCGAAGGACCCGCGCGTGAAGCGCGCGCCGCGCGGAGGCTTCGCTAGCTGATCTATACCAGGATTCTCCCGAGCTGAGGCCGCTGGGGAAGCCAGGTATCCAGCAGTGGCTTTTCTTCACGACAGGATCCGGACATCCCGACGTGAGTGGAAAGCGTCCAAACGCCAAACGCGTTGCTTCAGAACCCGACCTGTCCTTGAAAAGCGATTGGAGACCCCCGAAAACCCCCCCTCAAAATTGAGGGTCCAGGGTCGCGGTCTTTGTTTCCGGAATCGGAAGGATCTGAACCAACAGAACCAACATCCGAACCTTTCAATCTGTCCGCTTCGCGTTTCCAATGGGTGCCCCTGTCTGGACACCGTCCTAAGTTGTGTGGGATGGTCGAGGCGAGTGACCCTGCAAGGAAGAACCTGGTAACAATCACCGAAGTGGAACATGAACCACTCCCTAGGGATCCACATACCCTCTGAGAAGGTGATTGGAGACACTGTTATGTAGGTTTGGAATGGCTTGGATGGTCCAAGTACCTTCTGAGAAGATACGACTGGATCCCTAGGGACTGCAAGATCCCTTTTCCTCTGCAGTGTGGGGAACCCATTCAGCGTCCGACATCTAAGCAGGGAACAGAATCGGGCGAAGCTCGCAGTTTCCTTGCATGGGCCATCGGCTTTGGGGTAAGGATCTCATCCACAGGGGGAAACAGTTGTGCATCATCATACTCTTGCTGTTTTTGTCGGTGATATGTGCGATTGGTACGTGTCTTGCTTCGTCATCCTCTTCCAAATGGGAGTTGAGTACGTGCAGAGTGAGAATCTTCATCAACAACTCCAGAAAAAACGCAGAAAGTTCTCCTTCACTGTTTTGAGTTTCCTTCTTTTTGGCCTTTCACTGGAATCTCCGGAACCTGTCTCAATCACATTCTCACCGTCGTCACGCGGGCGGCGAACGGCACTGCCCGGCTTGGCACCGCAAAGACGCGCCGGCTTGGGGCGAAGAACCCAGCTGCCCGCCCGTTGCACTGCACTCTAATCGATGCGCAAGGGACAGCTGCCCGGGCATCCGATTTCACCTTTGCGGCACTTGCAGGTCTGGGGACACTGCGCACGGAGGCCTCGTTCGGCGAACGCGTTGTACGCGTCGGGCGTCGTGGGGCGAAGGCGGAAGACGGGTCAACGGCAAGGGGTTGACAAAGAATTGGCCGGACGGGAAAAGACTGAGGTACCTTGTTTTCGGGAAAACCATCTCGACACCTTTGATCCTTTGATCCACAAGTTAATTCGTGCTTGGAAAAACTGGACATGACATGGCAGAATTCTGGTTTCCAGGGTTGTGTGCTGCGTGTTGTGTGCAACGGCAAGCCTCCAAGAAACGCATTCCCCCGCTTGCCTGCGTCTCATGTTTCTTTCTGACGGAGTCTTTACCGCCCAGAAAACGCGGAGGTTCTTTGCATGTGTGACATGGACAATGCGTGACGATCAGAACATGGGGTGACTGGCGTGGGGGCACGCATAAATACGTCGGAATATAGTCTGTGCAAATTATAGTGCGTAATTCTTAACCGCATCCCTTGCTTTGGCAGGCATAGCACCTCGCCTCGTTATCTACGGATTGGAAAATATTGCCTCACCTCGTTAGTTCCACCTCGTGCAGCAACTTAATTCTGAGGGACAGGTCGTCGTCGTCGTCGTAGTCGCAGTAGTCGTAGTCGTAGTCGTAGTCGTAGTCGTAGTAGTAGTAGTAGTAGTAGTGGTAGTAGTGGTAGTAGTGGTAGTAGTGGTAGTAGTGGTAGTAGTAGTAGTAGTAGTACGTGGTGGTGGTGGTAGTAGTGGTAGTGGTGGTGGTGGTGGTGGTGGTAGTAGTGGTAGTAGTAGTCGTAGTGGTAGTGATAGTGGTGGTGGTAGTAGTAGTAGTAGTAGCAGTAGTAGTAGTGGTAGTGGTAGTAGTGGTAGTAGTGGTAGTAGTGGTAGTAGTGGT